CATAGAGCTTTTCACGTATTATTTTTAAGAATATGTAAGAAATCAATCATATATACATAGACAAATTATACATAAGAGGCTACGGCAAGAGCTAGCGCCTAAGATAAGTAGATAAATTAAAAATAACTGTGTAGCGACAGGCCTCACGCTCCATTTTTTGTTGTGTTCGGCACATTTGTTGAACATTTTTGTGGCTAGCCCGTTTGCGGGAAAAGTAATCTTTCAAAACTTAGGGAAAAGTAATCTTTCAAAAATATGTTCAAATAATGGAAATGTCATTTCAGAAACCCAAATTTTAAGACATTGTGGGAAGGGTGTATGATGCTGGAACACCAAGCTGCCCCCTCCTAGGAGAGCCAAGTCTCATGCACGATATGCAGTCAACCTCGACAGTTATGACAATGTTATCTGCTGAAGCTGAGGGCTGGACACAGTAATTGAAATATTATACAATTGCAAGAGCAAATGCAGTTGCAGAGAGTTTTATAGGTCAGCCATGCATACTACTGAAGTTATGTCACCTACCGACAATTTTTCAATGTCGGAGGCAGCAAGACATTGAGAATTTTTTGTAGATTCTTCGCCAATCACCACGGAGATTGCATATGCATTGTACAATAATATCTCCTCTTATTACTATTAAAGTTAGCCTGGCAGGCTCTCTGGGTTTGGAGGAGGGTTTTGGGAGTTAAAGTTAACCAGGCTAGCCACATGTACGCATTGCGTACCTATTTTTCAAATGTTTATCCACTTTATCGAGGAAAAAGCGCTTTTACAACCGGATACAGTTGTAGCTACTATGGGAAGTTTTAGGGGTCGCGCGTTGAACTTAATGTACGTCAAATTGTCTGGTACTTTATGAAAGTTCATAAACACCTTCCAAATTTGCAGTCTATGAATTAAAATTGCGTTTCAAACTTGCAAATCATTTCTAATTAAAGTGGTTTTAAGTTAAAATGCACTGCGAAGCCATTTTTTGCTCCACTTCTCTTTGGGACCGAACATTTTTGAATATTGTTTCCTCTTTTTTCTAGGTATGCTACCAAAACAAATATGGAATCATGCCTCATCCTAAACATGGCGGCTCCTATCCCTCGGCAACATATAACACAGCAGGCAAAACGCGCGTCAAAGATAACTGCATGGCTGTTGGCGTGCAGCAGACAGGAACAACTGCTGATGGATGGAGTCAGAATGACAACGGATATGACTCACCTCGGAGCGATTCTGATTGGCCAAATTCTCAGTACAACCCGCATGCATCGCCGTATGTTACAGTGTGGTTAAAATGAAGTTACAAAAATATCAAACGGTTTCTTGTTATGTTTAATCAACGTGGACATATATCAACCCATGTTTTTCAGCATGCGCTGCCAATGTCTATTATACTACCATTGTAACAATGTCTATTATTCCAGCATTATAATAAAATTTTTCAAATAATTTTATCTCCTGTTCTCTCATTTAAAGATACGATTCAATGTGTGAATTATTTGTGGGAGCATAAAAGTAGTAAGTTCAGTGTACATACAGGATCGGAAGTAATTAGTATGCAGAGTGAAAACGACGTCAGCAACTATTTTCCCTTTGTCACATAACATTTGTCGCGTGACAAATGTTATGCGACAAAGGGAAAATAGTTGCTGACGTCATTTTCACTCTGCATACTAATTACTTCCGACCCTGTATATGTACATGTAAACCTACTAAAGGTATTTCGGGGCTCTTTATATGAGCTTGGTTTGTCCGGTCGGCTATACGGGCCTGGGCGCCTGGCATCATATATATTCCCTATACAAAACAATTTCTCTTTAAATGAAAACATGGCCAGTCAGTTTAGTTGGGATCTGACACGACTCAAACGGGGCAGCGTGGGGGATCAAATTTATCCATAACCCACCGGGCACACGACGTTGTTTCAACGTTGAAATTTGGTAGAAAAAAGGTTGCGACGTCGACAACCTAATATCTACGTTGCTCTGACGTTGTTTTACAAACATTGGTTCAACAGCAGCCAACACACGTTGAATTAACGCTCATTCATGGTTAAATGTATGATGTCAATTTGTGAACCAATCTCAACGTTGTTTTAACGTGGATTCAATGTTGAATTATGGTTGACGAGATTGGCAACCTAATTTCAACGTTGTTTCAACGTCGAAACAGTAACGTCGATCCAATTTGCATAGTCAACCCTTTTTCAACGTCTATCCAACGTCTGGAAGGTCATTTCCAACGTTGATTCAACGTTGGATAAACGTCATTTTGCCCGCTGGGAACGGCATAACCGATGCTATCTCCCACGCGTGTTTCTCATAACTATATGATAGAAAAAGACTACATGCAATCACGGAAAATGTTTTCTATTTCTTAAACATGACCAACGGGTCTGCGTATAAAGTGCTAGCCATGCATGCGAGGCACCCAAAACATGTGAACCACAACATGTCTTATCTTTAATCTTTAGTCTGATACTCCTAAACCAGCTTACACTATACTAGGAGATACTTATAATATATGTATATACATTAACAAAATAACTATGAACTATATATATGAAAAACGTTAAAAGCTAAAAAATGTATACAATAAAAGTGTCCTGCCAACATTATACGATTCTCTTGATATTCGTAGGTAGTTCGATAAAAGGGAGAATGTTCCAGCCTCAAGGTTTGGGAAAAACGAAAATTTGTAAATATCATTGTTATACAAGAAACTTGTTGAAAGGGATGATGATTTGGAAGTCGGGATTTTGTTTTTAGAGTGTACACTTCATGGGGAGAGTTTAAATCAACGCAGCCTTGGTATAATATACTGTATGCAAGTTGGTCAAAGGAATCAACAATGTAGTTTGAATGAAATCATTTTTGAACTGTTAGCCTTCACAAGGCAACTAAATAAGCTAGAAAAGTTCTACAGTATTAAATTTATTTCCAATTTTACATGGTCTTTCTTCCTAAAATGCGGACTTAAATTTCGTTGCCATTGCATGTCATTCAAAAAGTTGGTCAAGTTGGTTTTCAAAATGGAAAATATTTGGTTAAAGTTGGTCAATGAGTTGCAGGTCAAACTTGGCAAAACTTTGTCAAAGTTTGAGAACAGAGTTGGTAAAATTTTGTCAAAGTTTGAGATAAAGGTTGGTAAAATTTGGTAAGAATTATGAAATCGTTCCCAATTTTAACAATTTATAAGTTTATTTGGTAATTTTAGTCCAGAAAAAAATTTGAAGCTTTGCTAATGTTAGTCTGGAAAATTTTTTGATGATCCCCCCTCCACCGTCGACAACATTTTCTGGGAAAAATTTGTAGGAATTGGTCAAAATTGGATAGGAAAAGTTGGTCAAAACACTGAAGACGACAATCCCCCCTCCCCAATCACGATGCCTTCGCGACGTCCCTGGACACTGCAGTAAACTCTCCTATATATTTTCATGGCCATGCCCACGGGCAAATATCACGGAAGACAAAGGCTTCGTAGTTCGTAGACATTCAGGAAATTCCGCTAAAGCTAAAAATATTTTTAATTCAAGTACCGAACTTTCGAAACATTTTAATTCGCCGCAATTTGAAGATAAAAAGATACAAGCTATAACGGAAGTTGTTTTTTTTTCAATAATTGTAGTTTAATTTGTTTTGTAAAGATATTCGTTGTCAAAATTGTCAACTCTTTCGTATAATGTCTCCAACTTTGCTTGATCTATTGCTAATTCGATATACGCCAAATCAGGGTGAATAATCCGTGATCCTCGTTTCTGGATATATATACTGTCAATTTCGCTTGTCAGGTACCAGGGGGACTTCGGAATGAAAAACTTGACAAGTTGACCTAGTGTTATCTCAAATATAAGTAAAAGCCCCAATAAACTCAGTACCGTAGCAAGCTCGATAATGGGGGGGGAGGGGGAGGGGGGTGCTCATATTCATACATTCGTGTTCTGTGTTATTAATTTCTTTTGAAATCGATTGTTTTTATGGTCTCTGAACACAAATATATGAATATGAGCCCCCCCCCCCAATTATCGAGCTTGCTACGGCACTGGTGAACGGTCGCTAACTTTGCTTAATATTATAACTCATGCACCGGCCAAACACGCTATAGTTCTGGTTCCTTGTGGACGAATTGTAACCGGAACATTTTGAAAACGATCATGTGAATTGATGAAATTTAGATCACACCCACGCTAATACACAGAATCCAGTCTACACTGAACATGCTCATGCGCAGTAGCTATTTTTTATTTAGCATTTTTGCTGATACGTGATGCAGCATAGTTAATAGATGGTTTGGAAACTCATTAGAATAACAATTTAACCTATTATCTATGTCGGTTAACATTTATTCATAAATCTGGTCGTTCACCGTCACGTGCGTATTGTAGTTTTGCCCAACTAACCAATAGCAATGTTTTAAGAAAGTTACCTATCCGTGATTTGAACAATAGGATAAATTGGAAATTGCTTTTGGTGGATTTGGCAAAAATACAATACACACGTGACGGTGAAGGACCAGATTTATGAATAGCTAATTATAGACGTTAAATATAGATGAGTTATATTGTTATTCTAATGAGTTTCCAAACCATCTATTCTAATAACTATGGTACCGGTTGCAGGAGCAAAATGTGTACAGCCAACTCGCGAACTGACCGTCCAAACATCGTGAAACTTTCGGTGTACTAATTTGGGCATGAAGATTCAATTCTGAGGTCCATTTTTGGCAAAGATCTGGACATGGTGACGACAACTCGGATCGGAAAATGAGTACTCTTGAGTAGTCGCCATATATCTTGGATTATCCAATCAGTATTTCGTTTTTGACTAATTTTAACATTATGTCATTTTAACTGTCGCTGATTGGCTAAAGGTTACAGATAATCAACAGCTACCAAGAAGGTAGCATTATATCTGCTGCGCAGATTCAAAAACACACACCATTTCTGTGAGACTTCTCACAAATACAGTTGTTCAAAATTGGCTCATTTCGAAAAAATTGAACGCACAATGCTGACAGTGTTCGTAGTGTTGTTCCAACTTTTCAGTTGCTACGCACTGGGGCGTTCGGGTGCGGATTTGCCAGGAAAACGACTACAAAACCACGGCGAAATTCACAAAGCGAAAAATCTAATTGATGCGTTATCTTTTAAACTCCATACCAAGTCCGAAAAGCTCACGTTGCAATCGAACGAGAATTTGGTGCCAAGTGCGTCAATTCGAGACGAACTCAAGATGCTGAACAAGTTCAAGGAACTTCTCAATGATCTTCTGAATAAAAGTTCCGTCTGCGAAAAGTTCTACGCAAATTTTGATTTCACCGCTGCTCGTGAAATTTTGATAGATTCCAGCGTGTCCTTACAGAACGATTATACTGTTGCATTACAAGGTATTGTGAATATTGTCTATCAGTTTATGGAACAGTTTTAATGTTTTAAAGTCTTTAGATAGACTAATTATTGATGCTTATATTATTATATTATGCATTGATGGTGTGTAGTTAGTTTAACGCTGGCAAAACTTGCTCGATCTGATTCAATGGAAAAGCTGGTTCAGCCAAGCTGTATAACCTTGTCGTTGTTGTTTCAATGATGTTGCTACAGTAGAAAACTATAATACTCGAGAAAATATACGTTGTGCCGTTGTAAATGAATTCATGTTGAATCAAACGCAAACGCCGTTTCAGTGTTCAACACTGGCTAAACGAGGCATGACTATACAAGCCAATCAACACGATTAGCATCTAAATTATTAAAATAATAGAATGCACACAGTTAACTATTAACCTGTCCTTCAATTCTGATTCAAACTGCTTACTGGCCAGCTTGGTCCCAGGTCCCAAGCGCTATCGCTCTGTTTGGACAGCGAGGACATTAGACAGATTTAGGCATAGAATAGTCGCCTAAAGCAACTAGAAGGAAACTAAATTTGGGTCCTCAAACTCTTGAAAAATGAAACAATATGAATTTTCTCTTCCTCGATAAAATCATTAGCGGCTAATTTAATTTATATTATTATACATTGTAGTCGCTGCATGCGTTTTGATTGGTTAATAGCTTACATGCAGGTAAATATGGCAATCACACAACTTACACATAACTCAGTTATTTGCTAGCAGATAACTATCTGAGGTATGTGTAAGTTGAGCCAGCGGTATGTAATTTTATAGCAAGCGGTAGTGTAAATACACGAATGCGTATTTCTCTCCTCTGTGGTAAAAGCATGCGCGTGACGTCACTGAGTACATGTTAGGAGAGTTTCAATGTCGATCTTTTCAGTAAAATTGTTTACTATGTAATATCATATTACCCATCCCAATCCCAGGTATGAATACTGAATGTTCTCTTAATCGTTTTCAGTGAACCACCGTAATTTGATCAACAATGATTTGGCGCTGGCAAACGGTAACGACTTGAGGATGTTGGAAATTTGGAAAATAATGGCACAACGAAGACAAAAGTGTTGTTCAGACTTCAAGAAGATTTGAGCGAAACTGTTCGTGATGGATCCGCTTACTACTTGGTTTATGGTATGGTAACAGGGCCGCCGAGAGAATTTGCGGGGCCCGGGACAAATCTTCCCTGGGGGCCTTATGACATCATTATTTTTAAGCTAAACCTAACTAGACCTTAGCTAGACTACATGTGGAGGTACTGTAAGGGACCCTCAAATTCAAAAATTCTCTGACCAATTTAAAGAACCTACTCAATTTTAAGCTGTCGCTCACAAGTCGGGGCCCTATTAAGGTGGGGGCAAGGGGAAATTTGCCCCCCCCCTGCCCTACCTTTCTCGGCGGCCCTGTATGGTAACGTCATCATACAAATTTATCCGTCAAGATTAACGATCTGCGCATGCGTAGTTTGTCTTGACGGATGAAGTTATGAACGTCCGTTTTCTTACTTTCAGACCTAACCTATGGGCCTTTTGGATACCGTTTACAATTGAAATTTTTGCTGCGATTTTAAGTGCAATTTTCTTCCTCTGATGCATGTGAACGAGTAAGATGAGTTATCAATATTTAAGCATGAGCTCCATTTTTGAATTTACTACATGTATACAGTTATTTCAATTAAGGTTGTCCCCGAGCAAAGCGGAAAAGTCGAATACGAGCGCAAAAGGCTTGCTGGGAATCGCTAGCAAATTAATGAATTTTTTAGCGATTCCCAGCAGCCTTTCGCGCTCGCATTCGACTTTTCCGCTTTGCTCGGGGACAACCTTAATTGAAATAGCTGTATGTCATATGAATAAAATGTTAAACACGTTCGAATTTACACATCGGATAAAATCGCGACGCATGTTGAACCCTAATCTAAATCTATCCCCAACTCTAAGGCCTGTTTAATACGTCGAATTTAATTCGGACGAATTTAATTCGTTATTGAATTCGTCAATTGATCGACATTAAAATGGTTTCGTTTCAAACGAGGAAATCGATTCAGACGAATTCATTTCATGACCATAGCGATCATGAATTACCCAGAAATAAAAACCATGGGATCATAACAACATGAGCTCCACCTTTGAATTTACTATATGAGTAAATTCTTAAACACGTCCGAATTTATCATTATGATAAATTCGCGGCACATTTTGAATTTATCAATAGAGTTAATCGTAAAACCACAATCATTGCACAAGGTTTCTTGTTATAAATGTAATGGCACTAAAAAGGGATGGTTGTCATGCGGGGGTGGGGAGTTTTTCAAAAAAAAAAAAATAGTTTTTAAAAAAGTTTTAAAAGAGTTTTGAAAAGCAAAAAAAGGTTAAAAAGTTAGATTTTTAAAAAAGTTAAAAAAATTTAAAAAGTTAAAAAAATGAGGGTTAGTGGTTAGTGGTTAGTGGTTAGTGGTTAGGGTTAGTGGTTAGGGGTTAGTGGTTAGGGTTGGGGTTAGGGTTAGTGTTAGGTGCCGCGAATTTATTATTATGATAAATTCAAAATTTGCCGCGAATTTATCATAATGATAAATTCGGACGTGTTTAAGAATTTACTCATATAGTAAATTCAAAGGTGGAGCTCATGCTGGATCATAAAGGTCAATTCTACAATCCCACTGGTCTGTTAAGACTGTTAAACACTAGCGGTTTAAAAGTTTTTGTCTTCAAATTATACGGTAAACTTAAGAAAATACCGAGAATATTGTCAAGATTCACTTAATCAGTCCTATACTTGCCGTACTATGTGTTTGTCGGACGCACGAATATCGTATAACAAGAATTATGCAGGCATACTGACACTGCTCTACAAATAAAGCCTTCAAAAAGTTGGGAAACTGTTCATTACTTGTCATTTATTATCAAGATTTAATTTCACATAAATTACCATATAAAAACACCCAGAAATTCTGGATGTCATGTGACCAGCCGATCCCTGGGCCATTTTCGCCGACCTTCACCGTGGAGGAAAATGCCCTGGGGACGAGGTTATGTATCTAAAGTTAAAAACTCATCAATAATTCACGAGGAAAATACAAAAGAAATGAATGTTTAATCAATGTTTGTAAATCGGATAAAGATTTGTCCTGATTTACATAAACTTCAGCTTTGATTTTCTCCGCTTATTGACAATTGTTCATTTTTTAAATTACTTCGCCAATGAACTCATAAGATGGGTCGTTTTTTAGGTACTAGATAAAAGATATGAGCAGTATATCAGATAAGTACTACATGAGCAGTATATCCTGTATATCAGATAAAGATCGGCTGCTCATGTTTTATCTATAGTACATATTATCTTATCGCTTTTAAACATTTTGTCCAACACGCCCAATTTCATGCAAACTGCGCAAAAAATACGAAATCCTCAATTCAAATATTTTAAAAAGGCCAAGAGCAGCTTCACAGCTTCCAATGTGCGACATTTAGCCATGCATAATATTTTACAGATTCTATATTTTTCCAGGAAATAAAGACGCCGGCAAAGCGAGGCAAAATCCAGAAAATGTCTACTTATTCTACGACGATTTCTCCGACTCGAACCTGGAGAAAAAGTGGCAGAAAAACTGGGGCGCTATTCGTGTAGAAAACGGTGTGTTGAAAGTGAAAACTGGCCGAACGCCAACCAGTGATAAGGGCGAAATTTCAGTCTTTGTCAAACACGGCCATGAATGGGAAGATATCGAAGTAGAACTAGACTTGAATGAAAGAAATAACGTGAGGGCCCCAGGGCCGTTTCTGAGAGTTCAGGACGCGAGAATTCAGAGCACTACTGCGTGGTGGTTTGAATATGTAACAGGGAGCAAATTGTGTACCATGAGGCCCTTTAAGAACAACAAGGACGGCAGTTGGTTATACCGGGGCACCTTACCTAAAGCATTGTCTGCAGGATTATGGTATCACGCTAAATTTCGAGTTGTTGGTGACAGGTTTGTAGCATTACTTTCGTATCTAAGGAGAAACAGTCATAGATAAAAAATTCTCTATTCAGTCTAACGTCAAACATCATCGTTTTAATCTAACCCCAACGAAACCGTCCGTGGGGAGCCTTTGGTAGTAGAGTTACTTAGGGAGCATCAGATTTTTATAGTTTTTTGCTGATCCATACAAGCGCTATGATACAATATGCCGCCAATATTAGTAGTTATACTAATTTTTGGGTGAAGTAATTTGTTGTGAATATACCGCCGATTACGTTTCTAAGGCCTGTTTTATGCGTCGAATTTATTAAATTCAGAATCAGACAAATTTAATTCGTCATTAAATTCGTCAATAGACCTATGCATAATGACGTCACAAGGCTTGATGCCAGGGGCGGCGGAACAGGGGGGGGGGGCTAGGGGGGCTAAAGCCCCCCCCAGAAGTAAAAGTGAGGGGGCTTAGCCCCCCCAGAAAATTTGAATTTTTGGAAAAAATTTTGATAATTAGGGAAAAATTTAGGTTATTTTTTGAAAATTTAGGTATAAGGGGACAAATTTGCAATATTTTGTTTAAAAAAAGTGTATTTCCGAAAAAAATTTTTGATATAAGTCCGAAAAAATTTTTTTCGTCCCTTTTTTTGTATATTGTACCCCTAAAGTGGTACACTGACCGAAATTTTTTTGGCGACGGGGGGGTGGTGGTGGGGGAGGTCGCCGAAAAAATTTAGCCCCCCCAGAACGAAATCTGTTCCGCCGCCGCTGCTTGATGCCCGCGAGGAATGCTGGTCTTAGTAGTCATCGCCCGGCAAAATTAAACAATTCAAAATGGCCACTATCAAAATTTTCCCGGGCGATGACCACTAAGACCGGCATTCCTCGTGGGCATCAAGTCTTGTGACGTCATTATGCATGAAGTCTATTGGTCTAAATGAAATGGTACTGTTTCAAACGACGAATTTAATTCAGACGAATTCATTTCATGACTAGCAATCATGGATTACCCAGAAGTAAAAAAAACGAGACCAGAAAGTGAGAATGCATTTAATTCGACACGACGATAATATACGTCGTATAAAACGAAGACGCGCTACAGACGTTGTATCCGTCTGACCATGCATGACGGATAAAACGTCTTGGACGAATTTAAATCGTTTCATACGATGCACTATCGTCGCATTTCATTCGTTAAATTAAATTCGTCTGAATTAAATTCGACGTATTAAAGTGCGACGTATGAAACAGGCCTAAATTTGGAATACCGGGGCACCGGCCGTTAAACTCAAGGCTGCCATGCCGTATAGGGAGATATTGGGAAATACTCCTATACGGCAGGGGGTTATTGCGTTTTGTAGGGGGTAGGAGATACCTGCAGGAAATAACAGTTAATTTGTAAGGAGCGTGGGGGTCTGACTCCATTATGGTCTGAGTCTGACTCTCTGAAATCGTTATTGCTGTTTTTGGCATAATTTTAGTTACATTTATCACGTTTCCTGCGGAAAAAAGCACTTTGCTCGACTCCAAAGCGAATGTAGACACCCAACCACTTGTGACTTGATTTGTAAAGCACTTGGCTTTTTTAAAAATTATCTTATCATTTATAAATACTGGGCCATATTCTGACTGCGAAAGCTTGTGGATCATTGACTGCAAAGGTAAATTGCTTACTAAAGTAGCGAGATACAGAAAATAAACTCGTAATTCACAGTGCTTTACTAATATAGACAACAAATTTGACAAATTATGTATTAAAGCCTAATTTCTTGGACTTGGCTTGATCAGTTAAACTACGAACTACCAGTTTAAATTCAATACTTTAGTATTTTAGTAACCAACTTGCGAAGTTGTCTTTGCGAATTGCACGTCCAATATTCCAAATTTAAAAACGTAATTGGGAATATTCACAACATGCAAACTGCGCTTCGCAATTTCGGAACCAAATAGAGCTGTCCAGTATGAAAGATATGTTTAGTTAAGCTTTTTTGTTTTAGTAAAAGATATTTTTGCTGTATAGGTTTTCACACTGGATCAACAATGTGCTTATCCAAAACAATGTAAAGGTTTCCTCACAATGGATGATCAACAAAGGCACCTTCGGCTTGGGTTGTCATACGTATGATATTGGATGTGACACATCTTATGATAACATCAAAATAACAAAATATATCCCTGTTTTGCCAACAGTATCTCTAGGTACGCTAGCTCTTTGTAATATATGCAACATAAGCAGTTTTATATCATGCAGATATACTAAAAAATACATCCTATAGACATAGTACATTGAAAATAGTGGTTCTGGAGATATCAAAGTCATTGTAATGAACTTAGTAAAAAAGAAAAAGTAAACAATTCTCGCATAAAATAACCTCCACTTCCTGGTTCAAAAATTTACTTATTACTAAATACCACTTCTTTAACAGGCCTGATTTATTTAGCTTCAATCCTTCATGGAAAAGGCTAATGTGGGAAAGACTAAAAAGTCTGTTGTATCCATCTAGGAACTGAATGCAAAGTCGATCTGAAGAAGTTTCACGGGTTGGGCACATCCGAAAAGAATCCTGCAACATCTTGCAAGCAAGTACATGATATATCGTTGAAAGATGGAAAATTGGACAATGGCTTGTATTGGATCAAGACATCCGCTGACCGTTCCGTGCAAACTTACTGTGATCTCACAAATGGTGGGTGGACATTGGTAGGAAAGGTCAGCGGTTTCGTCAACAAACTGTATAAGTTTTGGTTGATAAAGAATTATAATGTTGTGGTATTGAATAGTCCTGCTTTGCCAAGGTATATATATACCTCATATATATGTAAGTCAGAGTTTAAAATAGCTCAGCTAGACTAATTCTAGCTAGGGAGAATGCTTCCTGCAAAATTTTGAAATCTGCGATGACATTTCCTGTGTTCTGAAGAAGATTTGAGTCATTTGACGTCAGAAACCATGTCATTTTCGTTATCAGGCAGTGAAGAGTTGTTTATTTTTATTGTAGCAAAGTTGGCTGCATCGATGCGCGTTACCTGGCAACCTATCATGCGTCAACTGTGATGTTTTCCAGCGGTGATAACAAAAATGGTATTGGTTCAAAGTGGGTGCAATGGTCGCTACCATACGGACGAGAAAGCGACAGTCTCTGGACTCACAGTGTTGGTAGAACTACTGCGTCCAAAGCGAGGATGCATCCCGTCACCGTTAAAGCTTGGAACGGGAAGGAACAGGTTTGATCTATATTATGGTATTTGAAGCTGGCAAGATTAACTTGCCCGTTTAAAAAAATATATGCTGGAGAATTGTGTGATAATTAATAATGGAGAAATTGGCAACGCTGGAAGGCTAAAACTGCATTTTTTCACGCTTTCATAGGTATGCTACCAAAATAAATATGGAATCATGCCTCTACCTCAACATGGTGGTTCCTATCCCTCGGCTACATATAACACAGCAGGCAATACGCGCACCAAAGATTACTGCATGGCTGTTGGCGTGCAGAAGAGAGGAACAACTGCTGATGGATGGACTCAGAATGGCAACGGATATGACTCAGCAAGGAGCGATTCTGATTGGCCAAATTCTCAGTACAACTATGTATCGCCGTATATTACAGTGTGGTTAAAATGAAGTTACAAAAACATCAAACGGTTTCTTGTTATGTTTAATCAACGTGGACATATATCAACCCATGTTTTTCAGCATGCGCTGTCAATGCCTGTTGTACCGCAGTTATAACAATGTCTATTATTCGAACATTATAATAACTTTTTTCTAATATTTTACGTCTTGTTTTAATTGCAACTACTATAAATATTTGAGATATATACGAGTACATGTCTTTATGGATTTCAAAGAACGAGAGTCATTTCCCAGAATAGCTAGTTCGCTGATGGCGTCGTAATCGTCGGTCTTTGTAAGTTCAATATAAAATGGACTTAATTGATTTTCATTGTTAAAAAACTGGTCCAAAACTTATACATCTCGCCGAAACATCACAGTATTTACGAAAAAACGGCGTATATATATATATATGTTCTACATACTGGCGGCGTATTTTTTTGGAGAATATTGCCTTTATCATGTATTATGTAAACTATAGTGGCGGCCGCAACCATCGAGTGCGCAGTCTCGGAAATATTAGTCCAACAAAAGAGAAATAAAAGGAGAACACACACATCAAATAGGCAAGTAAATGTCATTTTAAAATATACCTTCTATGACATTTTTACTATAATATACATACTATAGTGACCCTTGCAAGATTGGGCCGCTGTGTTTGGACATCCTACATATGTAGAGTTCGGCAGTATTTAAAGTGGCACCATCCTTAAAATTTCTTAAACGAAAGTAACTTGTTTTGAAGATTTTTGTTCCCATGCTTAGTTCACAGAATAGATACTAGACCAGAAGGGTCACTCAGACGATATTTCGTCCGATATTTTACGTGCTGACGTGAAAATACGCCATCATATGACGCCATCCTGGAATGCACACAGAAGTTTTTCATAGGTACAAACATAGGTACAAAGTGCCGTGTGTACTCCAGGATGGCGTCATAACCGCGTAAAAAATTTCGGACGTTTTCCCAAGCCAAAACACATAGGAGTGACCCTTCTGCTCTAGTATCTATTCTGTGCTTAGTTCTTGAGATATTTCATTTTGTTTGTAACCGTCACTGACTCAATTACATATATAATGAGATATCAGTAATTGTTGTCAGTGTATCTATGCTATTTTTTATCAAAACCTTTCCATAGATGCGGCGCGTTTGTTAATTTAACCTACATCATTAAGCATACTGAGTTTTTTATTAAACAAATCCATCGGGAATACAGGGGCACGCAACATTTACTGATATCATTAGATATGTTTTATATATGTAATTGAGTAAATGACGTCACATGGTTTCAAACAAAATGAAATCTCTCAAGAACAAACCATTGGAACCAATTTTTTAACAGAAGTTACTTTACAGTTTTAGGAGTTCTTTCGTTTGAGACAATAAAATTTTAATGACAGTGCCACTTTAATGGAAAGGCGAATTAAGCAAGCTGGAGGGGATGTAAATGAGCATATAGCCTTATAGTTATAAGAAATATTTCTTTATACTGTATATATCAACCATGCGATCTTTCATACTTTTCAAAAGGTGTGCTACCTTCGTCACATCTACTGTGCTTGTGATGGTTTTTCTCAAAGAGAAGCAACAATGCAATCAAAATATCGACAAAGCGGTTGCTTAATTCAACAAACCCCCACAGGTAAAACAATGAAAGAGAATTGAAAGACGCACGAAAAATATTTTGAACTGCGTGACCAATATAGCTTCACCATGCGGAAGACACCTTAATCAACGTGTTTGGATAATGTACGCAATGAAGTTTGACAACTGTTGTTAAGTGTGTTTACCTAATTTTGGAGATTAATCTGGAGCATGTAAGGCCCGTTTCATACGCCGTACTTCACATGTGCCGAATACATTAAAGACAATAGGTAATGAGCTGAAATGCCTCATTATCTATTGTTTTTAATGTATTCGGTACATGTGAAGTACGGCGTATGAAACGGGCCTAATTGGTCTGGATAATGCAACTGCAATTGTTTTTCATGTAATACCATTTTGATCAATTTTATCTGGCCCTGATTATAATTGATGAAAGCAAATCAGAATAGTTACTTTTAGTCCATGCAACTGTGCAATTTAATCCTAAGAATTCCTTTTTGACAAGTTGTCAAGATACCATACTATAATACACACACTAAAACTGAATACAATTAGGCACACGCGCATTAATTAGGTTGTCTGGAAAACGCGTGCACGTACACGCGTACACGTACACACGTACACGTACACGCGTACATGGAAAACGCGTACATGGAAAACGCGTACATGGAAAACGCGTACATGGAAAACGCGTACAGTGTTCATTTGTAACGTTAATTAAAACTTGGCGGTTTTATTGGAAGTCCTCTTGCAAACCTAGTGATTGCGTCAATGATGGTCATATCATGGCCTCCGTGAAGGACAACTTCACAGTGGACTACGTATCTTTCATTGTGTTCCAACATGCGTCCAGAAAAAGCAGCCGTATTTCCAACCACCTCACGCTATTATCCCATACATGTAAGATAATGCCACTTTAAGAGCGTTCATGCAGGGCCTTTTTTAAGGATTTTCCCGTGGGGGGGGGCATTTTTTGAAAAGGGACCTTTCTGTGAGATAATATATTAGAGGGGGATAGCAATGGCTGAAGGCCACGTGTGTGGCCAACATACCACGCATGAATGGGGGGGGGGGGGTCTGAGGGAGTACTCCCCCAGAAAAGTTTTGAAATTTGAATCCCGGAAATGTCATTTCCTGCATTCTGAGCATCAAATTTGCTCCAAAATTTATGCTAACTATACTTGTATTTGAAATAAATAAAGGAAAAAACGCACAAAAAGTTTAAAAAAATAACCATCATTTATCATTACTTATTAGAGGAGGATAGCAATGGTCAGGTGTGTGGGGGTGTACTCCCCCAGAAAATTTTTGAAATTTGAAGCACGGAAATGCCATTTTCTGCATTCTGAGCATCCAAATTTGCTCTAAAATTTATGCTAACTATACTTGTATTTGAAATAAAAGATGGAAAAAATGCACAAAAAGTAAAAAAGAATATTAACTGTAATTTATCATTACTTATTAGAGGGATAATCCCCAGAAAATTTTTGAAATTTGAAACCCGGAAATGCTATTTCCTGCATTCTGAGCATCCAAAAAATAAAAAAATTATTAACAATAATTTATCATTACTTAGTGGTAGAGAAAAGTAACAATTTAAATCGATTTTGTTAAACAAGGACAAAGGATAAAGCCTAAAACTTACTTTCCGTTTATGTATTTGTTAATCTTCGCTGGTTTGTTTGTATAATTTTAGGGAAAAGGGACTTTTCCTGGGGGGACAAAATGTGATGCGTGCATGGTATCCTTTCGTCGCGTGTGAGCGTGAGATACTATAATATCCGCCACGGTGGATCTCACGCTGCATTGCGAAATCATGAATTTGAGTGAAATACCGTAAAAAAAACGGGGTTTTGTTACGTTACGTTATGTTATATAACATTACATTAGGTCGCCCTACATCGTCCACAGTTATAACTGTCCACAGTTGCTATATATAATGGTGAGTAGAACACATGCAGAAGTAGATGTACTTGTCGGGGCAATTTTTGCAAGTAAACATGTAAATGGCGGTATGTTTTTCGGTTACATTTGTTTTGTCTTTATGATTATAGTAAACTTGGATCTTTTTATTCGGAACTGATTCCACAGGTGTAAGTATAAACTAGGCCATAGCACGACATGGTGATATAACTACATGATTAGATCAAACTAACACAATATGCAGAGTCAGAGAGCCTAACTGTCTATATATAAAATATATTATACCTCAAATTCAAATTGTCCTATAAAAGAACAGCAGTTGTATACCACGTGACAATGTGTTTTTTTACCGTATTTCACTCAAATTCATGATTTCGCAATGCAGCGTGAGATCCACCGTGGCGGATATTATAGTATCTCACGCTCACACGCGACGAAAGGATAATGGCGTTCGCGAGCTGTTGTTTGCAATTTCGTACAAGCCCGTACAAAAGATTTATCGATTTACTGTAACTAAAAATTTTTAAGACGTACGTTACTTTCAATAATCCAAACCAAAGAATACATGCTCAAATATTTTAAAGAGAAAACGTCAAAACACAGCCACAAGAAATTAAAAATTGTATTCGCTTTATAGTTAATATTCAGCAAATTTTAAAGTTTCTTCTGAACTTAGTGGTGTCTTTTACCTTGGGTATAATATATCATTTTTACCTTCCGCTTGGGGGATTCGTCGAAACATTACCCTCATGCAGTGATGATATTTCAAATATTAAATAAATATCATCACTTCAGGTAATATTCCGCCGAATCCCCCTCGCTTCGGGTCTATAAATGATAAATAAACTATATGCTAAAGAAACCTTAACAATTTAAAATAATAGATAATTTTCTATAAGCGTCAGTGCATAGTTTTAAATGTTTCTTCATCGGATTGCGAGGTTTCCGAATGTGTGATTAATATATTTCCAATGTTGATCGCGGAGAAGTGGCATTATCTTACATGTATGGGATAATAGCGTGAGGTGGTTGGAAATACGGCTGCTTTTTCTGGACGCATGTTGGAACACAATGAAAGATACGTAGTCCACTGTGAAGTTGTCCTTCACGGAGGCCATGATATGACCATCATTGACGCAATCACTAGGTCTGCAAGAGGACTTCCAATAAAACCGCCAAGTTTTAATTAACGTTACAAATGAACACTGTACGCGTTTTCCATGTACGCGTTTTCCATGTACGCGTTTTCCATGTACGCGTGTACGTGTGTACGTGCACGCGTTTTCCAGACAACCATTAATTACGTCTCATTAAGGTTACAGAACACCTTTGAGTGTTAATTTTGCCTAAATTTTTTTATTGGTTTCAATGAAAGCATTAGACTAGTTCTACTACCTGACCAAGTTTGAACGAAAAATGTTGAAAACTCGCAGAGTTATTTAATAAAATACATTTCGCTGCAATAAGAAAAACATTGAAAATGTAATATTCAAATTCAATTTTCTCCCGAAAAAGTTTATGGTGATTACTGATTTTCAAACGAGTTGTGCTCCTGCGGGTTTTAACCAATTTTTCTTAAATGTTCACAGGACATAGCTAAATACGTCAGTTTCAAAATTGTGTTCGGCTTTTTTTAAATTTTGGATATTTTAAAAATAAAGAGCAATTCACTCAAACAATTCAGAAATATATTGCAGTCGTCAAAGAAATCGCCATATCAGCGGAATGACGAAATAAACAAAAATTTCCGAACTCAGTTTTTTAGAACAACTATTTTACTGTATAAAAATGATATTTTGATAAATATAACTTAAAACCAGCAGGAGCACAACTCAAAAGCGTAACGGTACCGCGATTTAAGATTTTCCCGAATAATTCTTACATTATTTTATTGTCTGTTAAATTTACAACTTTACCATATTTTGCATGCACTGGAGAACATTTGGTGAAAATTTGATGAAAATCGGACTGATATTGAGCGCGCAGTAGCGATTTTCCGCAAAACGCCAAAAAGGGTGTCCTGTAACCTTAATGAGCTCAAGGATTAAGAAACTAGACTTTGCTTGGAGAGGAAATTTACAAAATCATGTCTGCTGAGTGCAAATATTCAGCCTGCATGGCTAAGTTTGGCTTTCGGTTAAAAATAAAATGACTGGTGACACACAATGGTTATTGAAATCTTTTATACTTAAATTTCTTATATTTCTTAAAATTTGACGACAACATCTTCTTTTTCTTACTGCATGTATATTATGATTGTGAATTGTATGTCACCGGATCAAGGTCTAAAGTAAATACATCCTATTAGTTTAAAAATTTTGCAACCACTTATATAGCAAAATGTTACAGTTATACACAATTTCATATATCATCTCTTCTCATACAGCTAATTACGGGCGAAAACCGTCCAAGGCCTTTTTAAAAAGGTGTGCTACCTTTGTGAGATCTACCGTGCCTGTGATGGCTTTCCTCAAAGTGAAGCAACAATGCAATCAAAATATCCACAGAGCGCGGTTGCTTAATTCAACACCCCCCCACAGGCAAAACAATGAAAGAGAATTGAAAGGTGCACGAAAAACATTTTCGGAAATGTGATCTGACAGAAGACATCTTAATCAACATGTTTGGATAATGTACAATGAAGTTTGACAACTGTTGTTAAGTGCGTTTACCTAATTCTGGAGATTAATCTGGAGCATGCAATTGGTCTGGATAATGCAACTGCAATTGTTTTTCATGTAATACCATTTTGGTCAATTTTATCTGGCCCTGATTAATTGATGAAAGCAAATCAGAATTTACTGTTGGTCCATGCAACTGTGTAATTTAATCCTAAATTCCTTTTTGACAAGTTGTCAAGATACCATACTAATACACACGCTAAAACTGAATACAATTAGGTACATGCATTCATTACGTCTCATTCAGCTGAAGGATTAAGAAACTAGACTTTGCTTGGAGAGGAAATTTACAAAATCATGTCTGCAAATGTTCAGCCTGCATGGCTAAGTTTGGCTTTTGGTTAAAAATAAAATGACTGGTGACACACAACGGTTATTGAAATTTCTTTATACTTAAATTTCTTATATTTCTTAAAATTTAACGCCAACATCTTCTCTTTCTTACGGTATATTACGATTGTGAATTGTATGTCACCGGACTCAATTAAATGTCTAAAGTAAATAGTTACATCTTATTTTTAACAATTTTGCAACCGCTTACTGATATATAGCAAAGTGTTACAGTTATACACAATTTTATATATATCATCTCTTCTCATACAGTCAATTACGAGCGAAAACCGTCCATGAGATTAGATCGATCAATTTTCAAACACACATAACTAATCCTCCTAACAAACATACATGTTCCTGGTAATTTATCGGACAGGGTGTCCCAAAAATGCCATCTGAGGACACGCAGGTAACTATAGAATCTTTGGAGCGCCTGCGCAAATATGAGCATCCAAAAATGAGCGCAGTAATCAAGAAACACAAAAGAGAAAATAAATATGTTTGAGACTGTCACCACGCAAATGTTTATGCAGCTTATGTAGTTTAATATATCGTTAGAATCGTATGAAATCTCATAGTCGATCATATCGAGCGTATGCATGCATGCCTACTAAAAATCTGTACCTTATACCAATGCCTCTATAGGAATAACACCACAAAACATAGTGTTTTGGACATCCAGTATGTAGAGTTCAACAGTATTTTCTAGTAAAGGCGAAGCAGGCAGGCTGGAGGGGATGCAAATGAGCATATATACTAGCCTTGTAGGAAATATTTCTTTGGCACTGTATATATCAACCCATTCAACCATGCGACCTTTCATTAATTGTTGAGTGCACTGCAAGAGCAAACATACTTTTTACTGAAGGTGTGCTACCTTTGTGAGATCTACCGTGCCTGTGATGGCTTTCCTCAAAGCGAAGTAACAATGCAATCAAAATATCCACAGAGCGCGGTTGCTTAATTCAACACCCACCCACAGGCAAAACAATGAAAGAGAATTGAAAGGCGCACGAAAAACATTTTGAAACGTGACCAATATAGCTTCATCAACGTGTTTGGATAATGTACAATGAAGTTTGACAACTGTTGTTAAGTGCGTTTACCTAATTCTGGAGATTAATCTGGAGCATGCAATTGGTCTGGATAATGCAACTGCAATTGTTTTTCATGTAATACCATTTTGGTCAATTTTATCTGGCCCTGATTAATTGATGAAAGCAAATCAGAATTTACTGTTGGTCCATGCAACTGTGCAATTTAATCCTAAATTCCTTTTTGACAAGTTGTCAAGATACCATACTAATACACACGCTAAAACTGAATACAATTAGGTACATGCATTCATTACGTCTCATTCAGCTGAAGGATTAAGAAACTAGACTTTGCTTGGAGAGGAAATTTACAAAATCATGTCTGCAAATGTTCAGCCTGCATGGCTAAGTTTGGCTTTTGGTTAAAAATAAAATGACTGGTGACACACAACGGTTATTGAAATTTCTTTATACTTAAATTTCTTATATTTCTTAAAATTTAACGCCAACATCTTCTCTTTCTTACGGTATATTACGATTGTGAATTGTATGTCACCGGACTCAATTAAATGTCTAAAGTAAATAGTTACATCTTATTTTTAACAATTTTGCAACCGCTTACTGATATATAGCAAAGTGTTACAGTTATACACAATTTTATATATATCATCTCTTCTCATACAGTCAATTACGAGCGAAAACCGTCCATGAGATTAGATCGATCAATTTTCAAACACACATAACTAATCCTCCTAACAAACATACATGTTCCTGGTAATTTATCGGACAGGGTGTCCCAAAAATGCCATCTGAGGACACGCAGGTAACTATAGAATCTTTGGAGCGCCTGCGCAAATATGAGCATCCAAAAATGAGCGCAGTAATCAAGAAACACAAAAGAGAAAATAAATATGTTTGAGACTGTCACCACGCAAATGTTTATGCAGCTTATGTAGTTTAATATATCGTTAGAATCGTATGGAATCTCATAGTCGATCATATCGAGCGTATGCATGCATGCCTACTAAAAATCTGTACCTTATACCAATGCCTCTATAGGAATAACACCACAAAACATAGTGTTTTGGACATCCAGTATGTAGAGTTCAACAGTATTTTCTAGTAAAGGCGAAGCAGGCAGGCTGGAGGGGATGCAAATGAGCATATATACTAGCCTTGTAGGAAATATTTCTTTGGCACTGTATATATCAACCCATTCAACCATGCGACCTTTCATTAATTGTTGAGTGCACTGCAAGAGCAAACATACTTTTTACTGAAGGTGTGCTACCTTTGTGAGATCTACCGTGCCTGTGATGGCTTTCCTCAAAGCGAAGTAACAATGCAATCAAAATATCCACAGAGCGCGGTTGCTTAATTCAACACCCACCCACAGGCAAAACAATGAAAGAGAATTGAAAGGCGCACGAAAAACATTTTGAAACGTGACCAATATAGCTTCATCAACGTGTTTGGATAATGTACAATGAAGTTTGACAACTGTTGTTAAGTGTGTTTACCTAATTCTGGAGATTAATCTGGAGCATGCAATTGGTCTGGATAATGCAACTGCAATTGTTTTTCATGTAATACCATTTTGGTCAATTTTATCTGGCTCTGATTAATTGATGAAAGCAAATCAGAATTTACTTTCAGTACATGCAACTGTGCAATTTAATCCCAAAAATTCCTTTTTGACAAGTTGTCAAGATACTATACTGATACACACGCTAAAACTGAATACAATTAGGTACACGCATTCATTACGTCTCAAGGAGCTAAAGGATTAAGAAACTAGACTTTGCTTGGAGACGAAATTTACAAAATCATGTCTGCAAATATTCAGCCTGCATGGCTAAGTTTGGCTTTCGGTTAATTAAAAATAAAATGACTGGTGACACACAATGGTTATTGAAATCTTTTATACTTAAATTTCTTATATTTCTTAAAATTTAACGCCAACATGCATGTTCTCTTTCTTACTGCATGTATATTATGATTGTGAATTGTAATACAAAGGGAAAATAAATATGCTTTGTCTTTGAGACTGTCACAACGCAAAGGTTTATGCATTTTATGTAGTTTAATATATATAGTCTCCATGTAATCAGCCCTTCTGAGGTCCATTTTTAGCAAAGATCTGGACATAGTGACGACAACTCAGATTGAAGAATGAGTGCTCTTGAGTAGTCGCCATATATATCTTGCATTATCCAACGTATTACGTCTTTGACTAATTTTAACATTACGTCATTTTAACTGTCGCTGATTGGCTAAAGGTTACAGATAATTAACAGCTACCAAGAAGGTAGCATTAATATCTGCTGCGCAGATTCAAAAACACACATAATTTCTGTAAGACTTCTCACAAATACAGTCGTTTAAAATCGGCTCCTTTCGAAAAATTCTACACACAATGCTGACAGTGTTCGTAGTGTTGTTCCAACTTTCCAGTTGCTACGCACTGGGGCGTTCGGGTGCGGATTTGCCAGGAAAACGACTACAAAACCACGGCGAAATTCACAAAGCGAAAAATCTAATCGATGCGTTATCTTTTAAACTCCATACCAAGTACGAAAAGCTCACGTTGCAATCGAACGAGAATTTGGTGCAAAGTGCGTCAATTCGAGACGAACTCAAGATGCTGAACAAGTTGAAGGGACTTCTCAATGATCTTCTGAATAAGAGTACCGTTTGCGAAAAGTTCTACGCAAATTTTGATTTCACCGCTGCTCGTGAAATTTTGATAGATTCCAGCGCGTCCTTACAGAAAGATTACACTGTTGCATTACAAGGTATTGTGATTATTGTCTATCAGTCTATGAAACAGTTTTTAATGTTTTAAAGTCTTTAGACAGACTAATTATTGATGCTTATAATATTATATTATGCATTGATGGTGTTTAGTTAGTTTAACGCTGGCAAAACTTAATCGATCTGATTCAATGCAGTGTAAATACACGAACGCGTGTTTCTCTCCTCTGTGGTAAAAGCATGCGCGTGACGTCACTGAGTACATGTTAGGAGAGTTTCAATGTCGATCTTTTCAATAAAATTGTTTACTTTGTAATATCATATTACCCAACCCAATCCCAGGTATGAATACTGAATGTTTTCTTAATCGTTTTCAGTGAACCACCGCGAGTTGATCAACAATGATCTGGCGCTGGCAAACGGTAACGACTTAAGGGTGTATTTCCGAAGAGACGAAGACTGCAGACCAAGAGAACTTGATCGAATTTTGGAAAATAATGCCACAACGAATACAAAAGTGTTGTTCAGACTTCAAGAAGATTTGAGCGAAACTGTTCGTGAAGGATCCGCTTACTACTTGGTTTATGGTATGGTAACAGGGCCAGCCGAGAGAATTTGCGGGGCCCGGGACAAAACTTCCCTGGGGACCCCATGACATCATTATTTTTAAGCTAGACCTAACTAGACCTTAGCTAGACTACATGTGGAGGTACTCTAAGGGACCCTCAAATTCAAAAATTCTCTGACCAATTTATGCAAACTGCGCAAAAATACGAAATCCTCAATTGAAATATTTTAAAAAGGCCAAGAGCAGCTTCACAGCTTCCCATGTGCGACATTTAGCCATGCACAATATTTTACAGATTCTATTTCCAGGAAACAAAGACGCCGGCAAAGCCAGGCAAAATCCAGAAAATGTCTACTTATTCTACGACGATTTCTCCGACTCAAACCTGGAGAAAAAGTGGCAGAAAAATTGGGGCGATATTCGTGTAGAAAACGGCGCGTTGAAATTAAAAACTCGCCAAACGCCAACCCGCGATGCCGGCGAAATTTCAGTATTTGTCAAACACGGCTATGAATGGGAAGATATCGAAGTAGAACTAGACTTTAACGAAAGAAATAACGTGAAGGCACCAGGGCCATTTCTGAGAGTTCAGGATGCGAGGTTTCAGAGCACCACTGCGTGGTGGTTTGAATATATAACAGGAAAAAAATTTTGTATCATGAGGCCCTTTAAGAACAACAACGACGCAGGTTGGTTATACCGGCGGGGTGCCTTAGCTAAACCATTGTCCGCAGGGTCATGGTATCACGCTAAATATCGAGTTGTTGGTGACAGGTTTGTAGCATTACTTTCGTATCTAAGGAGAAACAGTCATAGATAAAAAAATCTCTAGTCAGTCTAACGTCAAACATCATCGTTTGGATCTAACCCATAGATATCTTATATACACTAGATAGCGCATCTAATTATTCTGCAATTCAAAAATTGAAACCGTGATTCAGCAGACTCAGGATATTCCCATGAAATGAGAAGATTCGTATGTTTTCTACTTCTTAAACAGGGAACTTAAACATTAAGGTGGCTCCCTACAGTTTTAGGTCTGTTTCGCGGAAATTTTGTCCACGCGCGAGATTAGTAGTGCTACACGCAACATACGTGGTATATCTTTACTCTATGACGTGGTTGACTTTGCACACTTGCACGCGTGGCGGGTTTTTTAAAATTGCGTCGTGATATACACGCGCGGGCCTTCGTGGGATTGTCGGCTGGTCGCGCGAGGAAATTGAAATCCTGATTTTTGTGACGTCACATAGATAAAAATAAATGTATTTTTCTCGTGTTTCCTTCGGTAAAATTTTTTAAAACTTCACACACTTTCCTGTAATCTTGAAGTGCGTAAAATTTGCAAGTTCTAAGAAAATCGTACGAGCCCAATTTTTTTTATTCCAAAAACAGGGCTTTTTGAGGATTAAAAAAATAATTCTCGTCCGATTTTTTTTAAATGCTATCATTTGAAGGAATTATAGATAAAATTACTGTGTGCAAAAAATTAAAAAGTTTTACCGAAGAAATTTTCAAAAAATTATCAAAGAATCTGCAAATTGGCTCTTTTTAAAATCGCTTTGTTACCATGGCAACGGGGATTTTTAACGACATTTTTTATTTTTCGTAATCCGCGATATTGTAGCAGTTATTTGGCCGAGTTTCCGTGATTATACTTTGCAAGATGAGAAAATAATGGTTTTTTGAAACAATTGAGTGTGCTTTACAATCAAAACTGTAGGGAGCCACCTTAAGTTAAACCTATTCCAAATACATTTTCAAACTATTCGAATGATTAATGTTATTGTTGTTTTTTAAGCGTTTATTAGCGAGTGGGAAACTTCAACATGGCCGCCATCTATTCAAATGGGGTAACCGCTGGAATATTCTTGGCTTCAATTTTACTAAAAGAGATGCGGCTATCTAGTGTATATAAGATATCTATGATCTAACCCCAACGAAACCGTCCGTGGGGAGCCTTTGGTGTTTGGTAGTAGAGTTATTAGGGAGCGCCAGATTTTTATACAGAGCCCAATAAGCGCTATAATACAAAATGCCGCCAATGTTAGTAGTTATACTAATTTTTGGGTGAAGTAATTTGTTGTGAATATACCGCCAATTACGTTTCTAAGGCCTTTTTTATACGTCGAATTTAATTCAGAATCAGACGAATCAGTTAATTCGTCATTGAATTCGTCAATTGGTCGGCCAAATGAAATGGTTTCGTTTCAAACGACGAATTTAATTCAGACGAATTCATTTCATGACTAGCAATCATGGATTACCCAGAAGTAAAAAAAACGAGACCAGAAAGAGAGAATGCATTTAATTCGACACGACGATAATACGTCGTATAAAACGAAGACGTGCTACAGACGTTGTATCCGTCTGACCATGACGGATAAAACGTCTTGGACGAATTTAAATCGTTTCATACGATGCTCTACTCGTCGCATTTCATTCGTTCAATTAAATTCGTCTGAATTAAATTTGACGTAATTTAAATTAAATTAAAGTGCAACGTATGAAACAGGCCTAAATTTGGAATACCGGAGCACCAGCATGGCGTGAAACCCATAAGGCTGCCATGCCGTATAGGGAGATATTGGGAGATACTCTTACGGCAGGGGATTATTGCATTTTGTAGGGGGTATACGTAGGAGATACCTGCGGGAAAAAACCCAGTTAATTTGTAAGGAGCGTGGGGGTCTGACTCTATTACGGTCTGAATTTCTGAAATCCAGGGGAATTTTTAAGAAATTACAACTACTGGGGTTAAGTCTCAATCAGGGCCTTTTCCCCGCACAGTTACGGCTACATAAAAATCATCCTGTGCTCAGGGGCAGCGCTAGCTTTTTTTTAATGGGGGAAGTGGGTGTAAGTGAAATATTGCCTACTAATTTCAAATGCTAATTGGTGTTTCTTTTCCCAAAATTGTTGGCGAGCGAGCTGGTGGGGGGAGGCGGCCTTCACGGCTCAACATCACAAATTTTTCGGACATTATAATTTTCATTTTCGTTTGCATGGGTTAACGTAGCATTGTTTGTTTAAATTTTTCACAATTTTAGCTATAGTTAGATTTTTATCAGTGTCAATCAAATGTTTTAGTTTCTTTCCTTCCTATCCAACTGAAATTAGATAATTTGCGATTGGGGGTGGCCGCAGTCAAAAGGGCCCAGCTCATCTGAAAATCATGCTTCACTATCGGGGAAAGCAAAGGGCCTACTGGGGTATATGCCCAAGTAGTTATATACTTAAAAAATGCCCTGCTGAAATCAGTCGTTATTGCTGTTTTTGGCTTTCAGACTTTCAGACAAGACATAACACATAATACAAATTTTTAAACAGTTAATACAATATTCAAACAAGCGAATAAGAGGAGGGTGAAAAACAACCTATATTAAAAATATTAGTAAATTAAAGATATAATGGTTAGTAGCTGTTAGTAGAGACCTAGCAAAGCATTAGAATAGGTCAAGAGGAGTTGACCTAATGTTGGCATTTAAAAACGTAATTGGGAATATTCACAACAAACGTGGGAACTGTGCTTCGCAGTTTAGAACCAAATAGAGTTGTCCAGTATAAAAGATATTTTAGTTAAGCTTTTTTGTTTTAGTAAAAGATATTTTTGCTGTCTAGGTTTTCACACTGGGTCAACAATGTGCTTATCCAAAACAATGTAAAGGTTTCCTCACAATGGATGATCACCAAAGGCACCTTCGGTTTGGGTTGTCATAAGTATGATATTGGATGTCACACATCTTATGATAACATCAAAATAACAAAATACATCACTGTTTTGCCAACAGTATCTCTAGGTACGCTAGCTCTTTGTAATATATGCAACATAAGCAGTTTTACATCAGATATACTAAAAATAGATCCTATAGACATAATACATTGAAAATAGTGGTTCTGGAGATATCAAAGTCATTGTAATGAACTTAGTAAAAAAGAAAAAGTAAAAAATTCTCGCATAAAATAACCTTCTCTTCCTGTTTCAAAAATTCACTTATTACTAAATACCACTTCTTTAACAGGCCTGATTTATTTAGCTTCATGGAAAAGGCTAATGTGGGAAAGACTAAAAAGTCTGTTTGTATCCATCTAGGAACTGAATGCAAAGTCGACCTGAAGAAGTTTCACGGGTTGGGCACATCCAAAAAGAATCCTGCAACATCCTGCAAGCAAATACATGATATATCGTTGAAAGATGGAAAATTGGACAATGGCTTGTATTGGATCAAGACATCCGCTGACCGTTCCGTGCAAACTTACTGTGATCTCACAAATGGTGGGTGGACATTGGTAGGAAAGGTCAGCGGTTTCGTCAACAAACTGTATAAGTTTTGGTTGATAAAGAATTATAATGTTGTGGTATTGAATAGTCCTGCTTTGCCAAGGTATATACCTCATATATATGTATGTCAGAGTTCAAAATAGCTCAGCTAGACTAATTCTAGCTAGGGAGAATGCTTCCTGCAAAATTTTGAAATCTGCGATGACATTTCCTGTGTTCTGAAGAAGATTTGAGTCATTGGACGTCAGAAACTGTGTCATTTTCGTTATCAGGCAGTGAAGAGTTGTTTAATTTTATTGTAGTAAAGTTGGCTGCATTGATGCGCGTTACCTGGCAACCTATCATGCGTCAACTGTGATGTTTTCCAGCGGTAATAACAAAAATGGTATTGGTTTGAAGTGGGTGCAATGGCCGCTACCATACGGACGAGAAAGTGACAGCCTCTGGACACATAGTGTTGGTAGAACTACTGTATCCAAAGCGAGGATGCATCCCGTCACCGTTAAAGCTTGGAACGGGAAGGAACAGGTTTGATATATATTATGGTATTTGAAGCTGGCAAGACTAACTTGCCCGTTTAAAAAAATATATGCTGGAGAATTGTGTGATAATTAATAATGGAGAAATTGGCAACGCTAGAGGACTAAAACTGCATTTTTTTTCACTCTTTTTCAAAGGTATGCTACCAAAATAAATATGGAATCATGCCTCTACCTCAACATGGCGGCTCCTATCCCTCCGCTACAGTTAACACAGCAGGCAATACGCGCACCAAAGACTACTGCATGGCTGTTGGCGTGCAGAAGACAGGAACAACTGCTGATGGATGGACTCAGAATGGCAACGGATATGACTCAGCTAGGAGCGATTCTGATTGGCCAAATTCTCAGTACAACCATGTATCGCCGTATGTTACAGTGTGGTTAAAATGAAGTTACAAAAACATCAAACGGTTTCTTGTTATGTTTAATCAACGTGGACATATATCAACCCATGTTTTTCAGCATGCGCTGTCAATGCCTGTTATACCGCAGTTATGACAATGTCTATTATTCGAGCATTATAATAACTTTTTTCTAATATTTTACGTCTTGTTTTAATTACAACTACTATAAGTATTTGAAATATATACGAGTACATATCTTTATGGATTTCAAAGAACGAGAGTCATTTCCCAGAATAGCTAGTTCGCTGATGGCGTCGTAATCGTCGGTCTTTGTAAGTTCAATATAAAATGGACTTAATTGATTTTCATTGTTAAAAAACTGGTCCAAAACTTATACATCTCGCCGAAACATCACAGTATTTTCGAAAAAACGGCGTATATATATATATGTTCTACATGCTGGCGGCGTATTTTTTTGGAGAATAAAGCAATTTGAGGGGCGGGGGGGGGGGATTTCCGATTCGAAGTGCTTGTGCCGACGGATCGACAATCGGAAGTCGTTTGCCTTTTATATCATGTATTATGTAAACTATAGTGGCGGCCGCAACCATCGAGTGCGCAGTCTCGGAAAATATTAGTCCAACAAGAGAGAAATAAAAGGAGAACACACACATCAAATAGGCAAGTAAATGTCATTTTAAAATATACCTTCTATGACATTTTTACTATAATATACATACTATAGTGACCCTTGCAAGATTGGGCCGCCTGTGTTTGGACATCCTACATATGTAGAGTTCGGCAGTATTTAAAGTGGCACCATCCTTAAAATTTCTTAAACGAAAGTAACTTGTTTTGAAGATTTTTGTTCCCATGCTTAGTTCACAGAATAGATACTAGACCAGAAGGGTCACTCAGACGATATTTCGTCCGATATTTTACGTGCTGACGTGAAAATACGCCATCATATGACGCCATCCTGGAGTGCACACAGAAGTTTTTCATAGGTACAAACATAGGTACAAAGTTCCGTGTGTACTCCAGGATGGCGTCATAACACGTAAAAAATTTCGGACGTTTTCCCAAGCCAAAACACATAGGAGTGATCCTTCTGCTCTAGTATCTATTCTGTGCTTAGTTCTTGAGATATTTCATTTTGTTTGTAACCATGTGACGTCACTGACTCAATTACATATATAATGAGATATCAGTAATTGTTGTCAGTGTATCTATGCTATTTTTTATCAAAACCTTTCCATAGATGCGGCGCGTTTGTTAATTTAACCTACATCATTAAGCATACTGAGTTTTTTATTAAACAAATCCATCGGGAATACAGGAGCACGCAACATTTACTGATATCATTACATATGTTTTATATATGTAATTGAGTAAATGACGTCACATGGTTTCAAACAAAATGAAATCTCTCAAGAACAAACTATTGGAACCAATTTTTTAACAGAAGTTACTTTACAGTTTTAGGAGTTCTTTCGTTTGAGACAATAAAAATTTTAATGACAGTGCCACTTTAATGGAAAGGCGAATTAAGCAAGCTGGAGGGGATGTAAATGAGCATATGGCCTTATAGTTATAAGAAATATTTCTTTATACTGTATATATAAACCATGCGATCTTTCATACTTTTCAAAAGGTGTGCTACCTTCGTCACATCTACTGTGCTTGTGATGGTTTTTCTCAAAGAGAAACAACAATGCAATCAAAATATCGACAAAGCGATTGCTTAATTCAACAAACCCCCACAGGTAAAACAATGAAAGAGAATTGACGCACGAAAAATATTTTGAAACGTGACCAATATAGCTTCACCATTCAGAAGACACCTTAATCAACGTGTTTGGATAATGTACAATGAAGTTTGACAACTGTTGTTAAGTGTGTTTACTGTTATGGAGATTAATCCGGAGCATGTATTTGGTCTGGATAATGCAACCGCAATTGTTTTTCATGTAATACCATTTTGGTCAATTTTATCTGGCCCTGATTAATTGATGAAAGCAAATCAGAATTTACTTTCAGTACATGCAACTGTGCAATTTAATCCTAACTATTCCTTTTTGACAAGTTGTCAAGATACTATATACTGATACACACGCTAAAACTGAATACAATTAGGTACACGCATTCATTACGTCTCAAGGAGCTCAAGGATTAAGAAACTAGACTTTGCTTGGAGACGAAATTTACAAAATCATGTCTGCAAATATTCTGCCTGCATTGCTAAGTTTGGCTTTCGGTTAATTAAAAATAAAATGACTGTTGACACAATGGTTATTGAAATCTTTTATACTTAAATTTCTTCTAAAAACTCTATAAAAACTCAATATCTAAAGTAAATACATCATATTTTAAAAAATTTTGAAACCGCTTATATTGCAAAGTGTTACAGTTATGCACAATTTTATATATCATCTCTTCTCGTACAGCTAATTACGGGCGAAAACCGTCCAAGGCCCATGGGATTAGATCGATCAATTCTCAAACACACATAAATATTCCTCTGCAACAAAGATAGTATTACATGTTTCTGGTAATTTATCGGACAGGGTGTCCCAAAAATGCCATCTGAGGACATGCAGGTAACTAGAATCTTTGAAGCGCCTGCGCAAATATGAGCATCCAAAAATGAGCGCATGCAGTAATCAAGAAAGACAAAAGAGAAAATAGATATCTTTTGAGACTGTCACCATGCAAAAATTTATGCTGAGCTTATGTAGTTTAATATATATAGTTAGGATCATGGAATCTCATAGTCGATCGAGCGGATGCATGCCTACTAAAAATCTGTACCTTATATTAATGCCTACAAAACATAGTGTTTTGGACATCCAATATGTAGAGTTCAGCAGTATTTTCTACAAAGGCGAAGCAAACAAGCTGGAGGGGATGCAAATAAGCATATAGCCTTCTAAGAAATATTTCTTTATTACTGCATATATCGCCCTCAACAATTAATGAGAGGTCGCATGCATGGTCACTGCAGGAGAATTTTTTAAAAAGGTGTGCTACCTTCGTCACATCTACTGTGCCTGTGATGGCTTTCCTCAAAGTGAAGCAACAATGCAATCAACATAGCCACAGAGCGGTCGCTTAATTCAACGCACCCCCACAGGCAAAACAATGAAAGAGAATTGAAAGGCGCACGCAAAATGAAACGTGACCAATATACCTTCACCAGAAGACACCTTAATCAACGTGTCTGGATAATGTACAATGAAGTTTGACAATTATTGTACATGTTGTCAAGTATGTTTACCAAATTCTGGAGATTAATCTGGAGCATACACTATAGCTGCAATTGTTTTCGTGAATTTTGGTCAATTTCACTTGACCCTGATTAAATGGTGAAAACAAATCAGAATTTTCTTTTAGTCGATTCAGCTGTGCAAATTAATCCTAAAAATTCCTTTTTTGACAAGTTGTCAAGATACTTATACACACTAAAAAAATTCGACTTTTCCGCTTTGCTCGGGGACAACCTTAATATTGAAATAGCTGTATGTGAACCAGGCTTATCTTTAAATTGGTGATGACAACTTGGTTGCTTGCATTTAATCATTTTCAAGACATCCCCCGCGTCACATCTAAACGCATGTCATCACGCGTGCATTTATTTCATGTTTACATAGCAACGGACCGACCCTATTTATTGCCGTGCGGATCCGCGTCATGCTGTACAGTCAATCGAGATTTGGATGGAGCTGAGCTCAAGTCTTTCAATAATGTTCGTACTATTCGTCATTCCGTTCCTACTTTCCAGCCACTGCGCGCTTGGAAAGCTGCACAACTACACCAAAATTCACGAAGCGAAAAATATAGTCGATTCATTGTCCTTCAAACTTCATTTGAACTTTCAAAAGCAACAAGGCAAATACGAACATCTGAAACTACAATTGCATGATGAGTATTTGATGCAACGTAACTCAACCAAAGACGGAATCAAGATGCTGAAAAGGTTGTGGAATCTTTTAAATGATCTAACAAAAAAGAATTCCATCTGCGAAAGATTTCAAAGTTTCATCGCGGCTCGTCAAATACTGATAAATTCCAATGCATCATTACAGAAAAATTACACTGTTGCATTAGAAGGTATTATTGTTATATAGACTGCAGTTTATAATATTTGTTTTATCTTTAATTGCTTTAATAATAAACTTCCAGTGAATTATGTTTTCATGATAACAGATTTCTGCTTCAGTGAGGCATCAGAGGCAGTTGCGTCAGCGAAGCAGCATACTATTCTTGAAGTGACTTATTACGTATGAGCCTGAAGATGCATCAAGTTCAATTTTCAAACGCAAGTTGTCTGAATGTGTGCGTACATTTGAACCTTACGGAGGGAAAACCTGTTCTAAGGCGCTTGAAAAACAATTTGCGTGGTTGATTTCGATACTTTTATAGTATAAATTCTTAGCCAAGTTGTATAACTTCATCGCCGATATTCGGGAGCATTGATTTTCCAGAAGCCAAATCACGAAAAACAAAGGACCGAGATAAAAACGCATATAACGGTATAAATCAGTGGGAACTGTAGTGTTTAAAGCGGAAAAGCGGGAGTAGTTTGGGAAAGGTACTCTGGTGTCATTTTCCTTTTTATTTCATCATCATCATTATTTCGAACGGTCTAAATATTGTGGAAATTGCACTCTCTCGCGCGCGTTCAAAATTGAGGTGTATGTGCTTTTTAGGTAGCGATTTCTTATCTTCATTTTATTGTTTTACTCTGATGCGTCTTTTTGGAGGAAGAATTGAAGGGCTTAGCTTCCAGTTTTATCCATGAGGACGCTATAACCCCCTTACCCACCCCCTATCCCCCCACCTTAGTTGGCAGTTGTCGTTCGAGAGATATTTTATCAGTTAAATTAAATCGTTTTCAGTGAACCACCGTGAGTTGATCGACAATGATCTGGCGCTGGCAAATGGTAACGACTTGAGGGTGTATTTCCAAAAAGATGAAGACTGCAGACCAAAAGAAATTGATCGAGTCTTGGAAAATGTCGCCACAACGAAGACAAAAGTTTTGTTCAAACTTCAAGAAGACTTGAGCGAAACTATTCGTGATGGATCCGCTTACTACATAGTTTATGGTAACGTCATTATACCGTTTAATTCGACATCATAAATCGCGCTGTTTAAAATGTGCACTAAATTGAAAATTCCGCAAACGTTTCAAAATCTTTATGTTAGCATAGGGTCTTCTGGTATCTCTATTACAAAATTATTCTAAAGAGCAAATTTTGAGTGCTACAGGGCTATTTTTCATGCTTGCGAAAAAAATGGAAGGTTTGAAACGTAATTTGAATTCATCTTGTGTCAATTTACGCCATATTCTGCTATATTTTTCCAGGAAATAAAAACGCTGGCAAAGCAAAACAAAATCCAGAAAATGTCTACTTATTCTACGACGATTTCTCCAACTCAAACCTTGAGAAAAAGTGGCAGAAAAACTGGGGCGATATTCGTGTAGAAAACGGTGTGTTGAAAGTGAAAACTCGCCAAACGCCAACTAGGAATCAAGCTGAAATATCAGTCTTTGCCAAACACGGTCATGAATGGAAAGATATCGAAGTACAACTAGACTTGAATGAAAGAAATACCGGGTCTAATGTTGCACCTGGGCCATTTCTGAGAGTCCAGGACGCAAGAATTGAAAGCACCACTGCGTGGTGGTTTGAATATGTATCAGCAAAGAAATATTGTACCATGCGTCCCTACCAGAACAACAAGGACGCAAGTTGGTTATACCGGAGCAACTTAGCTAAACCGTTGTCTCCAGGATCATGGTTTCACGCTAAATATCGCGTAGTCGGTGACAGGTTTGTAGGATTGCTGTCAAGTCCATTTTTAAGAAATCGTGTGTAAGGGGGGCATCTACGGAAAGGGACCATATTATACTGAGTATGGAAGGATGACAGATGGTTGTTGGTGAGAAAACGTTTGGCGTGGTGTTGTATGTAATAGTAGGGGGTCTGGAAAATTTTCGTATTTTTCCACTGCCTAGGATTGCATTTCGTGCATTTCTGAAACAAATTTTTCATTTTTGGATATACAGCGTTACATTATGCTGTAGATAGACTGAATCTTCAGTTAAGTACTTGCATGTTTATGTGTTTGCCACAACTCAGTTACTAACTTGTTTAGCCTAACCTTCCAACAACTCAAATCTATAGGGTCTGGGATATGCTATCCACTCGGAAATTTTTGAATTACATTTTTAAAAAGACATCGAATCATTTAAAGATAAAGGACATGACATAAGATTCGACAAGCAAGGTTCATGCAGTTCACTACAATATCAAACCTCCCTACTAAATTCAATTTTAGTCGTGCAATATTTTGTTCATGTGTAATTTTTGAGCGAAGAACAGTTTATATGATAGAGCTGTATAGTCATATATAAAATATTTTAGTTAAGGTTTAGCTCATTTTTACCGTCTAGGTTTTCGCACTGGGTGAACAATCGGCTCGTTCACAACAATGTAAAGGTTTCCCCGCAGTGGATGATTACAAAAGGCACCATGGGCTTTGGTTGTCATAGGGGTAATATTGGATGTCATACATCTTATGATAACATCAAAATAACAAAATATGTCCCTGTTTTGCCAACTGTATCTCTAGGTAAGTTCTATGTAATAGGCTAATTCGCATTCAAATGATTCGTTCTGCGTAATGGAAAAATTAGAATACGAGTAATACGCATGTCAAAGTATTCAACTGTTTAATCATTATTTGTGTTATAGTCAAAATAGAACTGTCCGACGTCATTATTATACATTTAGTATGTATTCTCGTTCCTGATTGGTCCGAGAGCACCGGAAAATTCTCAATATTCGGTAATTATTACGTAATTTCAGCTGCTGATGTGCTCAGCGTCCAGTAACAGTTTTTTTTTAATCGAACTTGCATTCATAAAAATTATTGGACGCTGTCGTGCCCAAGCCCCGGCGCGGCCAACAACTCAAACCCAGTACTAGCATATTTTGTCTTCTGTCAATTTTTCTTCTGTGTAAGGCAGAACAAAGAAAGGTACACTTAAAAGAATATCTTTTCTAATTTAATTTAGAGCGAATCAACCGTCCGGAAACCGCTAATTGTTCTTTGAGCAACATTTTGCATATTTAAATGTGAATGAACACTTTGATATGCATGCATATTCTAATTCGTCCAATCTCAGTCGACAACAATTCTGGAAAGTTTGGACAAGTCCGGGCACAATGGGAAAAAGTCGGTCAAATTTCTTTCCACCCCCCCTAATTTTTTCTTCCCGTACGCCTATGAAAAAGGTATATTAATTTAAAGCAATTGTATCTCTAGGAAGTGAGTGTAAAGTTGATTTGGGCAAATCAGAAGAACATCCCGCAACATCTTGCAAGCAAATACATGATATATCGTTGAAAGGTG